TATTATTTTTACTAGTATTAGTCAAACATTTCCTTGATGTTTGAATTATTGAATAGTTATCCAATTTCATATAATAGAAGGTTATGAGATATTTGTTCGATTTTAACCTTGTTATTTATACCTATATTTTCATATTAAAGATTCCAAACATTTGAAAAGTAAAAAATATCTTTAGACTTCCTTTTCTTAAAATAACTTATTTTTATGGTTCAATACCTGTGGTGATATATTGTGTACCCCAGTAAAGCTTACCTGGAGATCAGAGAACAGAGTCAGCCACTAAATTAGACATAGAGTTCATGCGGTGATGGCACACACCTTTAATCCTATCACTCAGGAGGCAGAGATCTGTCTGGGTCTCTGTGAGTTCAAGGCCATACTGGGCTACATGAAAGAAACAGAACCAGGCAGTGGTGACACACACCTTTAATCCCAGGAAGTAATATGGCAGGACACATAAAGGTATATAAGGTGTGGGGAAACAGGAACTCGCTCTCTTTAGGCTGAGGATTTCATAGAGGTAAGCTAGTGGCTGGCTGTTCTGCTTCTCTGATCTTTCAGCTTTCACCCCAATATCTGGCTCTGGGTTCTTTATTATAAGACCTTTTATGATTCTTGTTTTATGTGACACCCAGCATTTGTGGCACAAATTTGAACTGAACGTGACTGGAATTTCTACCCCACATGAGCTGGAGTCCCTAAGCAGTTGGATCCAGATGGCTGGATCTTTCACCTCTCTCCTGGTGGGTTGTAAGATCTCTGTGGATTCCCATCTTGGGCTGTTACCATACTAGGTAGCTGCCTTGAAACCCACTTGGGCTTCTATTGTTCTACAAAGTGTGAAGAGTTGGTGAGTCAATTAAGATTTCTTAAAGGGAGAAATTACTTAAAGGAGAAATTGCTTAAAAGAGAATTGTTTTCCCACATTAAAAAATGGGAAACATTTTTACAGTGGAGAGTGTTTGGTCTCTATTTCATAATACAATTGACATTCTAAAAAAAATGGAACCATTAGATTAGAGGACAATTAATGTTGATGGGATAGAGGTAATGTCAATTATAAATATTATTTGTTTGATTAGTTTCATTTTATCATTAAAATGATGGTTAATATGAGTGCCAAGATAAAAGTTTAAAAAAAAAAACTTGTTAAAAACAGATCATAGCCAAGCGTCCCTGCATAAGTCCCAGGTTTCAAACAGCTAACTCATGCAAGGAGCCCAGGACCTGGTAGCACTACCTAGATGCCTCCCAAACAGATCAAGTCAATTAACTGTCTCACCTATTCAGAGGGCCTGATCCAGTTGGGAGCCCCTCAGCCTTTGGTTCCTAGTTCATGTGTTTCCATTCATTTGGTTATTTGTCCCTGTGCTTTATCCAACCTTGGTTTCAACAATTCTCACTCATATAAACCCTCCTCTTTCTCACTAATTAGACTCCCAGTGCTCCACCCGGGAGGGGACTGGACCTGCCTGGACTGAGTCTATCAGGTCGATCCCAGTCCTCGGGGGAGACCTTGATCTGGAGGAGGTGGGAATGGGAGGGGTGCTGGGGGGAAGGGGAGGGGCGCAGGAAGGGATAGAACAAGGGAATCTGTGGCTATTATGTAGAACTGAATAGTATTGCAAAATAAATAATAATAAAAAAATAATAATAATAAAAAAGAAAAAAAAACAGATCATAGAGAAATTCAGACCCAGACAGAGGAATTTAAAAGTGAGCCAGTCTCAGCACTGCATTATATGGTTACAGATAAAGAGCCTAAGGCTTTCAAAAGCCAAAATTAATCTATCCAGTAACCTTATAGGAACTGCCAAATGCCCAAGGCTGTGTAAGAGCTGACTAGACTCCTATGCAAATGTCAGATTTGAAGAGATTAAAAGAAGATATAGTGTCATATGGTATGCATTCTCCATTCATGAAACAAATGTTAAACTTGTGGTCAACTTGTAATAGAATTATCCCTCAAGACTGGATTGCTAATGTAGAAAGGCAATCTCTATATAATGACCACACCCTGGCTTTATGTCAAATGGCAGAATTGAATGCTTGGGACAGAATCGAAGAAGCAATAAAGAAAATTCAGTCATTTACAAAAGTTATACAGGGCCCAAAGAAACCTTCAGATTTCTTACAAAGGCTGTCTTCAGCAGTAAATAGATTGATACCAAATTCAGAAGCTAAAAGGATAATAATTGAATCTCTGGCTTTTGAAAATGCTAATGCATAATGAAAAAGGGTAATTAGGCCATCAAATGCAAGATCAGTACCATTGGAGGAATGAATCCGAGATAAGGTGAATATTGAATCTCATGACCACAATGATACTTGGATAGGAGAGGTGATTTCCAGAGGTTTGAAGAAAACTAGCAATGTCATATGTTTCAACTGTGGTAAATAAGGTCACCTAAACAGGGACTATAAACAGGGCATTGCTAAAAACAGTGGGTTTTTTTCAAGAAACAATGGCAACAAAACTCCCATCCTTTCTGGATTATGCAGAAGGTGTGGCAAAGGCAAACATTGGACTAAAGAATGTAGATCAACAAGGGACAGACAAGGTAATCCTTTGCCTTTAACTTTGGGAACCTCCTGAGGGGTCTCTCCCAGGGCCCCATAACAAATTCAGTTTAGTCCTTTCTTACCATCATGGGAGAAAACCCTTCACAGAGCAAATAAAGAATCCAGTGCCTATTATAAGAAAAACATACTGTTCAGAGTGATAGAACAGCTATAGAAGAATGAACAAAAAATTTGGGAGAAAACATAAAGTGAAATTTTTGGCAAACTTTGTAAATGAACAAAGACCAAAGTTAAAATATGAGTCAATGACATTCTCATTGAAGTTCTTGTAGACACTGGTGTGGGTGTAACAATAATTGCACCAGAATCTTGTCACCCATATTATTCTTTTCAGGAGGCAAATGTTCAGCTTTTAGAGATTGGAACATTATTTCAAGTGAAACAGCATGAGATGAGTTGAATGTCAGGGCCAAAAGGACAGAAAGGAAAATTAAAGCCATATGTGGCTAAAATAGCAATGATAAATGGGGACGTGATTTATTACAATGGAATATGCATATTAACATTCCTCCAGTCTCAGAAACAAACCATAAACTAACATATGTTTCTGAGAAAAATATTAGAAGGTATTAAAAAGAACAGTCACCAACGACCATCCAGATTGTACAAGAACAGGGCACAACAGCTGCTGATCTTTCAAAGACACCAACAGCCCTACCTTTAAAATGGTTAACAGACTAGCCTGTATGGGTTCAGCAATGGCCTTTCACAAAAGGTAAACTGCAGGTCTTAGAACAGCTGGTACAAGAGCAGATAAATGATAAGCATACTGAAGAATCAACCGGCCCTTGGAATTCTCCTGTGTTTGTTATTAAAAAGAAATCTGGTAAGTGGAGAATGGTAACAGATCTAAGAGGTATTAACAGGGTAATTCAGCCAATGGGCTCTCTACAATCTGGAATTCTTTTGCCTACTCTGTTACCTAAAAAAAAAAAAAAAAAAAAAAAAAAAATGGCCTCTTATAGTTATCAATTTAAAAGACTGTTTCTTCTCAATACCTTTACCAAAACAACAACAACAAAAAAGACAGCAAAGGTTTGCCTTCACAGTGCCTAATTATAATAATTCTCACCCATTTAAGAGATATCAATGGAGGGTTCTCTCACAGGGAATGTCAAATAACCCAAACCTGTGCCAATATTTTGTATGACAGCCATTGGAATTAATGTATAAACTATTTCCCAAATCTACACTTTATCATTACATGGATGATATTTTACTAGCTGATTCAAATGCAGATAGCTAGGAAAGAATGAAGAAGTATAGGAAATTTTGCCTTGTTGGGGATTAGAAATTGCCCCTGAAAAGATACAAAGAGGAGATTCTATTAATTATTTAGGATATAAAATATGTCTACAAAAAATTAGACCCCCAAAAGGTGCAAATTATGAGAGATTGATTTCAGATTCTTAATGATTTTCAAAGATTATTGGGAGACATTTCCAATCTATGGACCACTATTGGAGTAAAAAATGATGAACTGAGTGGTTTGTTCAACACCTTAGAGAGTGACAAGGACTTAAATAGTCCAAGAGAATTATCAGCTGAAGCTGAGAAAGAAGGCTTTGGTGGAAAATAAAATAAAGGAACACTTGTGGATCATGTAGAACCAAAGTTTGATTGCATTTTGGTTATTTTACCCTCTAGACATTCTCCTACAGAAAACTGTAATGCAGAGGGAAGATATTACATTGCAATGAATATTTCTATCAATTAAACAGAATATAAAATTAAAAACTTATGTGGAAATGATCTTTGAGATAATTTTAAAAGAAAAATTGAGACTTTGCCAATTAGCAGAAATAGGCCCAAGCAGAAATTTTAGGACCTTTAATTAATGATGAAATTGACAGATTATGGGCAGAAAGTGAACCTTGGTAAACAGCTTGCAGGAATTTTCTGGGAGAGATTAACAGCAAATCTCCCAAAAGTGATAGAAATTCAACTTATAAAGATAGCTAACTGGATCTTGCCTCACATTGTATGGGAAACACAAACAAAAGCCCGTTATATGAATGGTAGATGTATTGAAATATAAAAATAAGTGTTAATACTCTTCCCTTTATACTGGAACTACATCTTGACTAGCCAAGGTACACTGAAAACACTCAGTTTAAATCCATTTTAAATACTCAATTTCTATTAATTGGAGTAAGCCTACATGGGACATTAGAATTGTTGCTTGGTTACCTTGGCTGAATAAGAACTATGGTGAGTTACTGCTGCCCATATTCATAGTGTCAAATTATACATGGAGAGCTCAGGAATAAAGATAAAATCATAGCAGTAGTTGATGAATAATTATTACCTTTTCACTGTCATATAGTTAACAAGTCATGTCCATCCACTGTAAATTAGAAAGTCTTTAAAGATATTAAATGGCAACTCAACACTATTACCTCTAAAGATAAATACAGTGGGTTTTAAAAATAAATTTTATTATATTTATTATTAATTTTACATTATTAATTTAGCCACAAAGTATGTACATGTTCATTACCTGTTTATCAGTTATACAGAGTATTTATATGTTTATGTCAGTGATAGAACCCTATATCCAGTTAAATTTTAATTCCTTTTTTAACTGCCTGAATATGTCACTGTGCCAAATTAACATATTCAGAAATTCACACACAAAATGATTCTTAGATTTGTTTATTAAAACAAAGTAGTATTTAGCAATTATTTATATTCATTGGTAATATTAAGTATGACAGTTTGATTATTACATATTTGTGAGATAAATGCTAATTTGAAGATGAAACAATATGACTTTTGTCCATCAATAATCAGAGTCTTAGATCAAAATGTATTAAGGAAGATTGGAGAGATTTGAAAAGTGGTGGATAGAAACAGACACTGAAGTGATTGCATATATTTTATTAGCATTGATTATTGTGCTAACACAGCCCATTCTGCATTAGGAGTTTTGAGTGAACTACTTTGCATTTGAGGCAGTTTTCTCTCAGGCTCCAATTTTTTCACCATATATCAATACAAGTTTATACTCATAAGAAGAAGTGAGTTAAACAATGCTTCAAATATAAATTTTTGAAACTACATTATTAATATTCATGCACATTTCTAAACAAAGACTCATTTATCCGCTAAACCAATAATGTGATTTTGAGCAACTGGGATAACTGATGTGACCATCAACGCACTTTGTACGGAGTGAAGGTGATGTTTTTATCTTTTTATATCCATATTTACACTGGAATTCAACCTCATCCCCTGATGGAGAATATAGCTTTTGCCTTTCTTTCCATCTTAAAGTTATGTTATGTCTTTCCATGATTTCTTCTCGTATTACACATGCATCTGAAAGAAAAATTACCAAACATTTGTTAATACATAAACCTACAGAGACTCAGCTTTCAAGTATTATTTCTCAAAGTTTGTAAAAACCTGTATTAAACCAGGACATCTAATTAGTTCATATTAAATAGCAAATGACATCAAAACAATGTTTTAATGTGATAGTTACATTTCAAAAAAGATTTCTAACACCGATGAAACAAGACACTTGGATTTCAGGACATTTGTGGTTGTTTGCACTGATTTAGGTATTGGGCCAAGGTAAAAAATTTGAACCTTGACATATATATGATATTCGGATGCAATGTTCAGTGAGATAAGTAAACTTACAAATACTATTATTAGTAGCCAAATCATAACCACCTTCATAATGTTTATTATTCACTCACAAGATTGTAACTATGAATAGTGATTATTGTATCATAGACTTAATTTTCATAGTTTTACAAATAAATCTATCAAATTCCATTCTGAATAAGTGACTAATCTGCTTGGCAAAACAGCTTCTGCAATCACCACCCTGACCTCTGGCCTTCCTTACACTTCTAGAAAACCAAGAGGACATAATGTCCAAGTTCGTGTTATCTCCAACCAATTCATTTAGTGCTGCCATCCTGCCCCACAACACATCTGATCATACTCTACTGTAAAGGCTGGGACTAAGTGCTACAGAGTGGGTGGCAAATTCCCATAACCGCATCTCCCATTGCAGCATCTGGTGTCATGCCATTGTCTAGTCAGAGGAGAATCCTACTGACCTCTTGCTGCTGAATAACCCTTGCAATCTGCCAATTACAGTTTCTGAGAAAACCTGCATCATCTTCTATGAGCTACCACACCCATTGTAGGAGTTGACACAGTGAGCCACCTGTGCCCTGAGCTGTCTCTATCACCCCACGTGGGCTGATAAGTGTCTCACTTTCAGTATAATTCACAGAAACAGTGGTGCACATTGTGTCCAAACGTGTTCATTAAAGGCAAATAACCCATAGGTGCCACATGGAAGTCACTCCTCCACTGTAAGCCAAGATACATCTCCAGTAAAGAGCTTTTTACTAAGAAAGTCACCATAAATATAGTGTATAGAAAATTGATCCAGCAGATGTGAAAAAAACACAAGAAATATGAAAAAATGGAAGACAACAAGATTCTTCCAAAGTTGCATTGCTGCTCCAGTAACAGACTCCAAATGTACTGACACGAATCAAAGATCAGTTGGAGAGTTTTTTAAAAATCATTTTTAAAACACAATTATTTTCAAAGGAACACAGAAAAAATAATTAAAGAAGTGAAAAAAGACAATGGGGAATATCAGTGAAAAAATATGGAAAATATACAATTTGAAACAGATTCAGATGTAAGAATTGGAAATTAACAGCTGTGTAATTTCAATAAAAATAGGTCTGAAAATGTCATTAGAAGCAAAATCCTGACCATTCCAAATGGCAATTTTAGCTCTTTAGCAGTTCAGTGAGATGTATCAACTGGGAGTTAACCAACCAACCAATAACAAAAAAAAAAAAGCCTAAAATATTTAAAAACAGAATGAATGCATATCTAACATAGCTAGCTAACAAAATATTCTCTGGAGAGAGCAACACTCAAAATGAAACATAGCTACCAAGATGAAAATGAAATACATACAGATCACACAAGAACAGAAGATACAAAGATTAAGAATAGAGAAAAGTCAAATATATGTGAAAAAATTCTTTTAAAATTTTATTTCAGAGCTGGGAAATGGTGGTTCATGCCTGTAATCCCAGCTTTCAGGAGGCAGAGACAGGAGGATCTCTGTGATTATGAGGCCAGCATGGTCTACAGAGTGAGTACCTGGATAGCCAGACTACACAGAGAAACTTTTCTTGAATAAAAACAAAACAAAAATTTGTTTCAGATATTTCAGAATTAGTGTTTTTAAAATAGATATACTATAAAATTAATTTTCAGTTTAATGAAAATTCTAATGCTATGTTCTTATAGGCTTAGAAAAAAATATCAGAAATCTTACCTAAGCACAAAAGAGCTAAAAGCAATGCTAAATAGTAAAAACACTGCTGGAGGGATCCTAATATCAGAACTCAATTTATAATCCAGCACTATAGAGATAAAGACAGACTAATACTGCCGTAAATATACACAGATAGGTTAAAGGACAGGAACTGAAGACCAGCTATGACCACCCATTTTGGAGAAAGGATATGAAAACATGTGCAGGAAAGAGAGCCCATTGACAAATGTTGGCTCTGGCAAAACAGGATTTCTAACAATAGAAGAATGAAATCAGACTCTTGTCTTTCGCCTTGAACAAAAATCCATTCAGATCAGATCAGACACCTTAAATAAGAGCTGAAAAACTGAAAGTTTTAGAATAAAACCTAGGGGTTCCACTTCAACATACTGGAGGGGGCAAAATTGTGAATAGAACACCAGCAATGCAGAAACTAACACCAAGTATCAACAGGTGGAAAGACTTGAAAACAGAGTTTCTGTACAGCAAAGGACACACTCAGCAAAAAAAACCCAGCCTACAGATTGGGAGAAAATCTTAACCCTCGACACCTCAGACAAGGGGCTAATACTTAGAATTTACAAAGATTTAGAAAACTTTAAACTGAAGTAAACAATATCGCTAAACAAATGGCCAGATGAACTGAATAGGCAATTTATCTTCAAGATTCTTAAGGTTTACTTAAGCTTTTAAAAATATTTCAGCGGGAATTCTTAGAGATGGTCCACCAGTATCAATTTTTATTGCCTCTCAGAAAAGAAAGGATAATTCAATCCATCTACATTAATCATGTACTACATTACATAATTGGATGAATGATAAATGATCATGTTAATAGATATAGAGAAAACATAAGATAAAACTGTGTGTATCTTCAAAATTAAAAGATTGACTGAACAGCTTAAGGATATATAAGAGAGTACAGCAAAATCATCAAACGCCATAAAAGGTATGTACACCTGATATACCTACTGCCACTGCCTTGTTGTTTGTAAAATGCCCTAAAAATTGACTACATGCATCATCAGAGAGCCTTCCTCCAGCACCAGATAGGAACAGATGCATACACCCACTCTCCACATTATGTAGAAAGAGAGCATTTAAACCGAAGGTCTCCATCAAATCCCTCCTCTTGGAGCTCAGGGAATCCCACAGAAAAGGAGGTGGAAAGATTCTAAGAGTCAGAGGATATAGTGGACATGAAGAAAACAAGATCCTGGGAATCAACTAAGCAAGGTGCATATGAGCTCACAGGACCTTCATGGGTCTAAAACAGATCCTCTACATATGTATTATAGCTATCAGCTTAGTATATTTATGGGACTCCTAACTATGAGAATGAGCGGGTCTCTAACTCTTTTGCCTGCTCCTGGGACTCCTTTGCTCCCGTTAGGTTGTCATGTCCAACATCTGTATCATAGCTTTTGCTTCATCTTTATTATATTTTATTTTGTCATGTTTGATTTTTAACTCCTAGAAGCCTTTTCTTTTCTAATGAGAGACACAAAGGGAGTTGATCTGGAGAGGAGGGGATATGGGGAAGAACTGGGAGGAGTAAAGGTAGAGGAAACTCTAATCAGGGTATATTGTATGAAAAGGGTATAATTTTACTGCACATTGCTATTAAACAGAAACTAAGATGGGAAAACTGTCTCGGTACCAACCAACTGATGAATTTATAAAGACAATGTGATATACTCTTATGTGAAATATAGTTCAGACATTATAGACAATTTTTATTATTTTAGTTAGAAAAGGGCATTGAAGAATGTTAAGTGAAATCAGCCCAACACAGGAATACAAGTCCTTTGTGTTCTTTCTCACACAATGGGAAAAACAACTAAAATTCCTCTTGAATGCCTAACTGTGATTAATACAACTTAGATGATTTTTCTAAGGGAAGGGGAGATATATAAGGGGCACTGATTTCAATAACTGCAAGATATATACAGATGTAGTAATTTGAATAAGAATGGCCTCTGTACTGGGTGATTTTTTTGTGTCAACTGGACACTTGACACAAGCTACAGTCATTAAAGAGGAAGGAGCCACAGTTGAGAAAATGCCTCCATGAGAGCCAGCTGTAAGGCATTTTCTCAACTAGTGATCAATGTGGGGAGGAACCAGGATGTGTGGTGCCATCCCTGGGCTGGCAGTCATGCATACTGTGAGAAAGCAGGCTTAGCAAACCATGAAAAGCAAGCCAGTAAGCAGCACCCTTCCATGCCTCCAGGATCCTGTCCAGTTTGAGTTCCTGTGCTGACTTCCTTTGATAATGAGCAGCAATATGGAAGTGAAAGCCAAATAAACCCTTTTCTCCCCAACTTGTTTTTGGTCATAGTGTTTCATCACAGCAATAGAAACCTTAACTAAGACAGCTTCCATAGGCTTATATATTACTTATTTATCAGGGAATGGTTCTACTTGAAAAGGATTGGGGCTGTAGCCTTGTTGGAGTAGGTGTAGCCTTGTTAGAAGTGTGTCTCTGGGGATAGGCGTTAAGGTTTCAAAAGCCCAAGACAGTCCCAGTGTCTATAGCTTCCTACTGCCTTTTGGGCAAAATATAGACCTCTGGGCTATTTCCCCACCACCATGTCTGCTGTGTCCCACCATGCTCCCTGCCCCCCATGCTGATAATGACTATATCTCTTGAACTGTAAGCAATCACCAATTAAATGCTTTTTTATAAGAGTTGCCAGAGTTATGGTGTCATTTTGAAGCAACAGAGCACTGTTGAGACAATGGGTATGGAAATATCATGCTGGTACCATGTTTTATGGACATAAATACATGTTATCAAAAACAAAATAATAAAGAATCACATGTATAATTATATTTGCCAATTATTTTTATATAAAAAATCTAATAATTTTACTTTCTTCACAAGCTGATATTTGGCAATGAAACACTAAGCAAAAGAGTACTTTTAGTCTGTAAGTGTTATTAACAGAAAAATATCCATATCATGAAACTGAATCTGCTATGATCTATAAGCATGAGTTACTTACGTAAACATTTTGGTGGCTCTGACCACTCTCCATTTCTACATGTTATTTTCTTGTTGCCCTGCAGTTGGTACAAGGACTGGCACTGGTATTCAACTGATGATAATGGTGCGTATACTGGCAATGGGAAGGAGGTGATGTCTCCATTGTCAATAGGTGGAGGAGGCCCACATTTCCCTGTTGAATCTACGAGTACAACATTTGAATGTTTGAGAAATCAAATCAAAGTACAGACTTAAACAGAACCAATGAAAGTATAATGTTAAACAAGACTTTAGTGATTTCTGGCTACAGAAATGATTACTAGAAGAAATTTCAATCATTTAAACTGAGAGTTACAAGTTCTTCCTTCCTTCTTACCTAAAGCACTTACTTAACTGGAACAAGCATGTCTACTCTGAAGTCTTCAGCTTCTGAGCACACAGACTCCAGTGTAGACAGGTAGTGTTTCATTGTTTTGAAGACACTAGAGTATTTTTTGTTTTTGCTCTATATATTCCTGTTCTTCATTATCATTTTTTAGCAACACATATTTGTAGACAACAATTTAAAGCTTTTAAAGTTACAGAATGCAAAAGAGGCTTCCTGGATCCATGATAGGGGTGAAGTAAGTACAGGCATCTATATGTTATTCTTTCTAGGTACAACTAGATTTCTTGAACATAATATGTTTAGTAAACAATATAGGAACAGGGACGATATTGATAATTCTACTTAGATTCAGGATTCAACTAAGTGTACCATGCTGGTGTGATATTTGTTTCCCTTCTGGACTGCTGATTGTGCTAGTGAGGCCACAGGAAAAGATGAAAATTAAATACTGATGATATGTTCTATTGAGTAAGGCCTCAACAGGATCATCATGAAACTGAATTGAACTCCAACATTGTTTAGAAGAAAAAAAGTATTCAAGATTCAAAGAAAATGTCTTAGCATGAAGGAAAATGAAAAAGGTTGGGCATAAGGCATGCATGTGCATATTTAAGAGCTAAGTAAACTCAAACAGCAAAAGTCCCATGAAGTTCATTCAGATACATGTATTGAAACTGCTTAAAGAAAACATTCTGAAAAAAATCTTTATAAAATCACCAGCTGCACTGAATCAAGATCCAAAAGAAAGTGACTTTCCATCTACTACGAGGAAAAAGAAGAAATATGACTGATAATCACAGAATACAAACGCAAATTAACAAAAGAAGAGATATATCAAACTTACTAGGAATTGTTTTACATGCAAGTGATCTGCATACAGAGATTTTAGTGGTGGACTAGGCACTTGGAGTTTCTTTATATATGTTGTAAATTTATGCATCAGCAATATATAGTTCCTATTCAATAGTAAGTGACTTATTGAGGTAATTTGGGAAATTTCTGTTCTTGTAAAACTAATGTATTCATAGAAAATACCTCGTGTGTGTGTGTGTGTGTGTGTGTGTGTGTGTGTGTGTGTGTGTATGTGTGTGTGTGTTTGGTTGGTTTTTGTTTTTGTTTTTGTTTTTTTTTTTGCAGTCAGGGTTTCTCTGTGCAGCTCTAGAGTCTTTCCTAGAAATCACTTTCTAGACCAGGCTGGCCTCAAACTCCCAGAGGTCCCCTTGCCTCTGCCTCCCAAGTGCTGGGACTAAAGGCATGCGGACACCACTGCCTGGTGAAAACTCCCATATTTTGAATTCAACATGTAAGAATATCCCTGGTGCATGAGCTGTCTTTCTAGAGCCTGTTACCTATGGTTGGAGGCTTTGCTCATCCTTGATGCAGGGGGGAGGGGCTTGCTCCTGCCTCAGCCTAATGTACCAGGCTTTGCTGACTCCCTTTTGGAGAAGGGAAAGGGGAGGTGGGTTAGGGGAGGGAGCTGGGGGGCGGTGAGTGGGAGAAGGTATAAGAGGGGGATCTGTGGTTGGTATATAAAATGAATAATTAAAGGGAAAAAAAGAAACCCTCATTGCTGCTTGCCCCTTATCACATGTGGCAGGCAGGAGAGCTGGTCCCTGGGTCATTAGAGTGGGAGAGCTGGCCCTGCTCCTCACCAGCTGTAGAGTGGTCCCTGCACCTGGCCAGGGCAGTACAGAAGAGCTGACTTTGTTGGTGGGGGCTTGTGTGAGCAAGCCCCTTCTAATATTAGAGGGACCAGCCTTAATATTATACATCCCATGGGCTCTGGAGAAAGAACTACTAACAGCAAGGACTGTTTTCAGGGAAGTAGAATCTCAGCACACAGAGCTCTTAGTCCAGTCATTTATTCTTCGAAATCTTCTCCCTCCTCCCGTGCCCTGGAGTCCCGGTATATATAGACTTATAAGCAGTCATTCCTTGGCAGTGCAAACTAGGCTTCCAGGGTCAAATGGAAGGGTGATAAGAACCACATAGAGGGGCAATAGTTGTTAATTATCATTTGCAACCCAAAAGGGAAGTGACTAATGGGGAAATGAATTAACTCAAGGCTAAATCCAGGTAATATCGAAGAAGAGGGATCTTGCGTACTCAACTATAGTCTTAAATGTGATTGGTAGAAAATATTAAGAATCTATAAGTTGCTAGGTCAATGGGAGAAAATAAAACTGCCTTCTTTTTTCCTGTGGCTTCTATCTGTCCAAGCTATCTGCCGTTTTTCTGCAGGGTGGGGGAAAGTGTGCTTGGTCACTAGGCAACCTGTGCACAGCTAGATGCCTCTGGTGATAGTTAAAGGGAGATCTGGAACTAGAGGTAAGGTTTGGGAAAGGAAGAAGTAATGCTTAATTGGCACATCCGCCAGGCCTTCTCAAATGGGTAGTCTGGATGCTTAAGTCTGTTCTTATAGAGTACAGAGGTATCTCTGATAAGGTACTTTCCTCCATCTGGGGATGGACCTGGTCAGATGCTGCCAATGATGATAATTACAGGGAGGCTTGAACTGGGGTTCTTTCTGGCTGAGCACAGCTGTCAGCACAGAAGGTTATCTGAATATTCCTTTAGTAGAGGGGAAATGATGCCCAATAAATGATGGAAAATCTACAACAGCACACAAGAAACTCATAGAAGGAAATGAATGGCTGATAATCAAAAACCAAATATCACCATGGCTCCTTGAGCCTCACTCAGCTTGACCTCTGGAATGCCCTTGGCTACTTCCAGGTATTAGCTTTGTCATAATCAGCTGAAATCCTACTTTATATATTTTTGCAGCTTGTAGAAGGCCCTAGGGCATGAGTGTAGGAGAGTTAGCCCTCCTTCTGGCATGTGGTGGCATGGGTGAGGGAAATATGCCCTCCCTACCCTCACATCTTGCCATCTGCATCAGGAGGAAGAACTGGCTTTGGGTGTATGAGAGTGGGATACCTGACCCTGCCCATCACAGGCTGCTGCACTTGGGAGAGTGGACCCTGCACCTTGCCTGGGCAACACAGTAGTCCTGGTCCTCATGGTGTGGATACAAGTGAGCTGGCCCTGAGGGAGTGAGAGGAGAACTGGCCCCATCCTTTGATGCCTGCTGAATTGGGTGAGCTAGCTGAGGCAGTGCTGGAGAGCTCTCCATGGTGGTGAGGGTGAAGGGGAGCTGGCTGTCTGACAAATCTAGCTACCACCCAGGCCCAGACCCAGGACTACAAGTTGGCCCACCCCAACATCCACTCATTTATGAAATGCTTGAGCACATGAAGGGGCCAGTCTTGTGGATCCAAATCTGTATGATCTCCATCACACAGGGCAACAACAGGATATCTACAAAAAGTTCCAATGAGGGCCCAGTATCAACAGTGTAGCAGAAGTCAAAGGCCTCATATACCACGGAGTGACAAGGGTAAGGGAAATATGCTCCCCAACCCCTTGCCACATGAGACAAACAGGCAGGAGAGCCAGATCAGGGGCATGAGAACAGAGAAGCTGGCCCTGTCCCTCTCCAAGTGTAACAATCCAGAGAATGGGCACTGCACCTCTCTGGGGCAAAACAGTAGAGCTGGTCCTGGTGGTGTGAGTGCATGTGAGCCAGAACCTAAGATGTGAGAGCAGGAAAACTGGCACTGCTCCTTGATGTCTGCTACATGGGGTGAGCTAGCCAGGACAATACTGGAGAGCTCTCTATGGGGGTGATGATGAGGGAAATCTGGCAGGCTGACCAACCCAGCTATCACCCAGACCCAGAACCAGGACTACAAAGTCCTACTACATCCCAACATCCACCTCACCTATGAACTGCTGGAGTATGTGAAGGGGCCAAATCTGCAAATCCAAAGCTACAGGACCTCCATGACACAGACAACAATAGAATATCCAAGAGGAGTCCCAGTAAGGATCCAGTATCAATAGATTAGCAGAAGCCAGTGGCCTTGAACCAGATCAATGACTCATTGCAATAAACACTTACAAGTAAAGATGTATGGACCAAAGGGTATATTATGTGACTGATTTACTGGACCACACTACAGCTTCAATGCTGAGAATTTTTTGTTTGATTTGGTTTGGTTTTGGGTTTGGTTTTGGGTTTTACTTTAAAATTGTGTTTTTTGGGGGAGGTAGACAGGGCAGAGGGCAGAAGCAAGGGGACAGTGAGAAGAGTGGGATCAGTATGCACCATGTGAAATTCACAAGGAATCAATAAAAAGGTTTAAAAAAAGAAATGAGGAAATCTAACAAAAAAGACATTGTATTTTACTATGTGAAGATATTCTATTACACTACTCATTTACATTTTGAAGTAAATATTCTGAAAATCTTTTCTCAAATGTATTTTATCCATTTAATATTCAATAAATAAGTGAGAGGCTTAATATTAAAAGTGATGGATTTTTACTTAGTGACAATTATTCCTCGAATCTGATAGAAACTTGGCTGAAAAATTGCCACCATAATTCTTCATTAAGTTCACCAAAAGAATTAAAACTTTATCAATATAATTTTATTTTCATTTTCTTATCGTTTTGGTTGTGAGCCTATCATTTAATGGCTGAGCCATCTCTAGACAGCTCTGAGTCTCCAAGAAACAAATACTGGGTAGCCCAGAGTAATAGGATCAGTGCCTTGTCTAGTCATCATTAGAGAGGCTTTGTCCAGGAGCAGATAGGAGTGGATGCACAGACCCACAGCCCAACATTGTGAGGAGTCTAAACTGGAGGTGTCAATTGGATCCCTTTCTTGGATATTGAGGAACCCCACACAAGAGGGGGAGGAAATATTGTAGAAGTGAAAGGGGATGGAGGACACCAGGAGGACATGAATCACCTCAATCACTATATGATGGGCTCACATGGGCTCTCAGAGACTGAAGCAGCAAACACAGGCCTGCATGGGTCTGCAGCAGGTGCTCTGCATATATGTTATGGCTTTTAGCTTGGTGTTTTTCTAGGACTCCACCAGTGGAGGTGGGTGTATCTCCAACTCTTTTGTCTGCTCTTGGGACTCTTTTCCCCCTATTGAGTTATGTTGTACAGCCTCAATATGAGGGGGTTTGCCTTGTGTTATTGTATCTTGTTTTGTCCTGTTTGGTTGTTGTCTCTTGAAGGCCTGTTCCTTTCTGAAGGGAAGTACTGAGGGAGTGTATCTGGAGGAGAGTGGATATGTGTGTGTGGTGGTGGGGGGGAAGGTAAGTTGGGAGGATTGGAGGGAGGGGAAATTGCAGTAGAGATGTATTGTATGAGAGAAGAGTCTAGGGTTGGGGATTTAGCTCAGTGGTAGAGCACTTGCCTAGCAAGCACAAGGCCCTGGGTTCTATCCTCAGCTCCAAAAAAAAGAGAGAGAGAGAAGAATCTATTTTTAATTTAAAGGAAAAAAAGAAAATTAGAAAAATGTTTATTATATGAATTACTTCACTTTATCTTCACTAATGTACAGTAACCAAATTACATTATCAAATAAACATTAGGAAATATGATGGCCTACCTTTGCATTTTGGTGGCTCTGTCCAAACCCCATTTTGACACATCACTTCTACTTCCCCAAATAGTTCAAAAGATTTATTACATTCATACCGTACTTTTGCATTGGGTGGATATTTAGCCATGGGCCTTGTTACTATGGTAGCATTTTTCACAAGTGGTGGATCCACACAAGAATTGTCTAAGGAGCAATACAAAGTATCATTACCTATTTGTTCATCGTAAGATTCCAATCAACACATAAGAGTCTAAATGTATTTCTCAGCAGATGAATAGATAAAGAAAATATGGTATATTTACACATACACACACAAATGAACTTATGAAATTCACAGGTCAATGGATGTTACTAGATAAAAGTCAGTCTCAGTAAGGGAATCCAGACATAGAAAAACATATATGATGTACATTTGCTTATATGGATACTAGCTGTTAAGTCAACAATAGTCATGTTACAACCCATAGAGTAACAGAGGTTAGGTGTACAGCAAAGGACCAGGAGAGGGAGTAGTCTCCATAGCATAGGGAAATATTATAGATAGTTATGGAACAGGGAAGGAGAGGCAAGGAACAGAATACATAGAAATACAACTAAAATTAAGCATTATTGAAGGATATTATAGAAACATAATAAAGTAGAAACTTCCTAAAATACATACATATACGAAGACAATGTAATTGAAATAATCAAAAATGTAGGGAGACAGAGCCCCAATGGACAACTCTTGTTATCAAATGGAGCTTCTAGTACCAAGATTGGGTTACATCTAATTGAATTAGTAGCCAAAGATGTCACATGAGAACTTCCAAAACACCCAGGCTTTTAGCAAGGCTATAGGTTGTTTTACACAAACTGGAGGCAAGGACACATTGTGAAAGACAATACATTCACAACCCACTGAACACAGCAAAGTCAAGCTGGTGCCTACATATAGGATAGCATCTTTGGTAAAGGAAGGTACTTTGCATGCTACCAAAGTAGAAACATAAACACCAACCCATCCATATACCCTTGATCTATAATGGTGTTCTGTCTGCAACTTATGATAGGAAAATGGAGACACCAAACTGCTGTGGATGATTGATTGATAAATAAAACACTGATTGGCCAGTATCCAGGCAGGAAGTATAGGCGGGACTAGCAGAGATGAGAAGGCTGGGAACAGGAAGGTTGGAGCAGAGGAGATGCTGCCAGCTGCTGACAGGAAAAGATGTTAAGATACCAGTAAGTGGCCACACTAGTCGAAGCCCATGAAGTGTGGACTGGTGGCTGTGGAGCCCCCATGGGACTGGACTAGGCTCTCTAGATATGGAAGATGGTTGTTTGGCTCCAACTGTTTGGGGGGGGGGGCACCTAGTCAGGTGGATCGGGATCTGTCTCTGGTCTATGGGTAGGCTTCTGGAATCTGGTGCCTGTGGTGTTACACCTTGCACAACCTTGGTGGAGTGGGAAGGGGCTTGCCTAGGCTTAGTGTGCTGGGCTTTGCTGACTCCCCCTGAGAGACCTCAATTTGGGGGATGTGGGGATGTGGGATGGCTTGGCAAAGAGGGCTGGGGGGTAGGAGGAGAGAGGGCGGATCTGTGGATAGCATGTGGAGTGAGTAGAAAATTTCTTAATAAATAAAAATGAGCCGGGTGGTGGTGGTGCACGCCTTTAATCCCAGCACTTGGTAGGCAGAGGCAGGCAGATGTTTGTGAGGTCGCGGCCAGCCTGGTCTACAGAGAGAGAGATCCAGGAAAAGCGCAAAGCTCCACAGAGAAAAAAATTGAAAAAAAAAAAAAAAGATACCAGTAAGCCACGAGCCACATGGCAACTTATAGATTAATAGAAATGGGTTAATTTAAGATATAAGAACAGTTAACAAGAAGCCTGCCATATCCATACAGTTTGTAAGCAATATAAGTCTCTGTGTGTTTACTTGGTTGGTTCTGAGCAGCTGTGGGATTGGCGGTGAGAGAGATTTGTCCTGACCGTCGACCAGGCAGGAAAACTCTAGCTACACCAAACTTGTTGGATTGACCAAAGAATATCGACTATAAATTAAGAGCTCCTCCATGAGTTGTAACCCATATCTGACCCTGCTTGGGTGGCCAAGAACCTGAGACTAGATAGCCCAGACACTTTATACTTCTGTGAAACCAAATATGACTCTTGTTAAAAAAAAAAAATTGAGATAAAAAGATTCCACATGACCTTCTTCTATACTCTTAGATCAGTGCCTTGCTCAGCTGTCATCAGAGAAGCTTTTCCTGCTGCAGATGGGAACAAATACAGAGACTCAAATAAAGACATTATGTAGAAACCTTGGAACACTCCAAGATTTGTCATAGAATGACTCAGTCAAATCCCTCCCCATGTGGCTCAAGGAACCATACAGAAGAGGACGTGGAAAGAGTAAGAACCAGAAAAGATAGAGGACACCACGAAAGCAAGGCCTTCTAAACAAAAAAGACTGATGCACATACGATCTCATAGAGACTGAGTCAGTACACAAAAGCCTGGATTGGCCTGCACCAGATGGGGTTCTAGAGCTAAAAGGAACAGGTGCCACAGGCCTACATCCCTAACCTAGAAGCAATTTCCAATTGATAACCACTGGCAAATAAAAATTTAGAGTTCTGCAAGGAAGAATCACATGAGAAACAAACTACTGTTAAGGGCAGGCTGCATTAAAAAAAAAAAAACTCAAGGACATCTTTGGAGGTTCTTTGTCTCATAATGTCTTGTTAGGGCTTTCTTTTTTAAAAATCCATTTTATTTTTCCGTTTTGTTTTTGGTTTTACTTTATTTTATTTATATGTTCCTTCTCTCTTTTAACCCTACAGGTCCTTTGCATATATATTATGGTTTCCAGTTTAGTGCTTTCATGGGATTCCTGAGTGTGGGAATGAGTGGGGCTTGTAGTCTCTATCAGTCTCTTGTCTTTTCTTCAGCTCTTTCCCCTCAGATTGTTTATTTTGTCTCATTCCAATATGATTGTTTTGTTTTTTTATTCTGTAGAAGGGTGTTACTTTTCTGATGAAAAATTTAAAGGGAATTTGTGCAGATGGAACATGAGGTGGGGAGGAACTGGGAGGAATAGACAGCACAAAAACCTTATTCGGATTTTTTTAGTTGGGAAAAAAATCTGTTTTCAACATAAGGAGGAAAACATTGTTTCAAGAATAACATAGGTATAAGAAAATGATGATCAAGCAGAATATCCTAATATTGTAATATACAAAATATCTTAATATTGTAACTGATTGGGGAAATTGGGTTTTAACGAGGCCTTCGTTTGAAGGTTGTTTTTTTACCATTTTTTTTCCAATTTTTTTTGGCTTCCGGCAATGTTTTTCAACTTGGTTTTGCCCGGATTCCTTAGGGCCTTTTTGGTTGCTTCAGGTTTTCCCTTCCGGTTTTTTTTTTCTATTTAAGATCTTTAGAATGAGTTCCTCAGTATTAATTTACATTCATAATATTTGGTCAAAAGATAATGATGATGCTGGCCATGGAACCATACTCAGAAGATCATTACTCTATTAGCCATCAGGTTTTTAATTCCATGCTTTTATTTTAAAAAATAAATAAATTTCATCTTGCTTTTAAAAGCTAACTTTTGCCCACTTTTAAATTTTGCTAGACCTTTTTACTAGTCCTCTAAAACTATAATAAATACATGTTGAAAATGCATCAAACTACCTTTGCATACCACTTCTCCAATCCATTCGCGATTAACACATGTCACAATGTTGGACCCATTCATATGATAAGAAGGTGCACATGTGAATGTCACTTGTTCACCTGACCTATATGAATATTTTTCCTCTTCTTGGGGTATGGCATTTTCAAACCTGGGCAAATTGTCACAATCTGTTACTGAAAGAAAAAAAAATATACAGGGTTTTGTTTTCAGGAAATTGTAGGATATACAATGTATGAAGCAATATTTAGGTTCATAGAGACCAATAAATAGTGTAGATTTCCCATAGATTTGACTTAGTTACATTGAAATGTGCCAACTTTATAAAAATAAATAAGGTTGGAATGACATGGGATATAGAATACTGATAGTTATAATTATTGAGATATTTTCATTTTGCTTCAAATTTTTATCTCATATGAAGCTATGACATATTTCTACTTCAGGTTCACCAAATGTGAATTAATTATAATTATTATTTAAAAACATTAGAGCATATGTAGTTGTGGTGGCATTGCTATTAAAACCACCACTGTAGTGATGAGCCTCTTGAACAGAGCCAGTGTTTTCTAGAAGTCTGAGGATGCTGATAGGTCAGGATACATGATGTGAAAATGAAATATAACTATGTTTTACCAGTACTTTGTTTGTCTGCCAGCATCCAGTAAAACCTTCTGATATGCTAGATTTACAGCTTGCTTTCTATTTGTGCCAAATATAGCTTAAATTAGATAATCTATTACACAAAGAATGAAAAAAAAACTATACCCATGCAAGTGGGTGGCTGGGACCACTTTCCTCCTAAGCATTTAATCAATGCTGGTCCATCAATTCCAAAGCCTTCAGCACAACTGTATGTCACCTCTTCTCCATGTTGGTAACTGTCTAGTTCATGAGTCACAATACCATGCTCGATTGAAGGTGGAGGTCCACAAGGAAGTCCTGAAAATAACACAATGAGAGGAACAGAGTGAAATGATTCCATATTGCACTAATTTAGAAACTCACTCTCACACATCAATTCTATGTGTAGTAGTACTAGAAGGAAATGTTAACAAGGAAGATGTTCAATCACAGAAGAGGTGGACAGTGCTTCTTAAGACCACCTTCTGTTGCCTTGCATCTGCTAAACTGCTTACACACCAAAAAAGAACTTGACACCAAAATTTCTGAAAAATCATGAGTGGCAAAAGAATAAAAAAAAAATATTCTCAGGAAACCTTCCATATATTGCAGCTGAAACACATTGTCGGGAAAAGACACTGAGGAGTTTAACACCCAGTGGCAAGTCACACACTACAATGCACATGAGCAGGGAGGTTGGTAGAGTATGCATCATATTTAAAAAGAGAAATGCAAGAGTAAAACTAGATTTCAAGACAATCAATACAATTAACAAAAGCAGGAGAGATTGAATTATGCAGATAGAAATTTATGGTAAAATATATAATCAATTATATGTGCCAATCTAAATCATTCTTTCTTCTGGTTTTGATGAGAGTAGCTTATTGGTAAAGACTTATTCTAAAACCAGAATTAAATTTTCATGTTGTTCTCACCGACACAACGTGGTGGAGTACTCCACTTTCCCATGTTGCAGGTTACCCCGTGTTCCTCAGCCATTCTAAATCCATCCTCACAAACATAGCTGAGTGTAGTGCCGTGCTCATGAATTCTGGACTCCACTCTGTCTCTCCTTTCTTCTGACACTCTGGGTAATTTAATAGATCCGTGGTCTATCTCAGGGGGCTGGGAACATGGAATTTTCACTATATGAAGAACAGAAATGAAGTAGTGAAACATATATAAAAAGTTTACGTTGGAAAATAAAAACAGTTTGGATTATGTCTCCACAGTTTTCATGTTAAGCCCTAGTTTTTCAATATTCCCCCTTCACCTGAGTTCTCTTCAGTATTTAAAGAAGGAATGTTGTAGAATAAGTCAGAGCTACTGACCAATGCATCGTGGTAATGACTGCCACCTTCCATCTCTGCACACCATTTCTTCTGTGTCCTGTATTATGTAATTGTCTTGACAAAGAACAGATACTTTTTCTCCATCCTTGTATTTCACTGTGGTTTTCATCACTTGGGCATTTGGAATCTGTGGTGGAGGAGGGCAGGATTCTTTCTCTGCTCGTATAAAACATTGGAAATCAGATTTCTTGACTAACTACAGTATCTTAAATTATTGAAATAATGATTTTCATTAAACAGAAAACTAATTATGACCACATAATAATTATGTATATTTTATGCTTTTCACCTTCTAAAGCAATTTAATATCTATTCTTGTCCTCCCTTGAATTGTTATTCATTGTTTTCTAAAGCAGACTTGCAGTATTTTTATAATACTCATTTCAATTACTTCTAGCCTTTATGATGTTTTAAACTAATTATAAGCTGCAATATATAATTAAGGCTACATAGAGTTTTCTCTAGGGCTGTGTATGGATACCTATGAGGGAATCTGTTGGATTAGATGAAAAATCCTGAGATAGCTTTCCAATGGAAGTCATATTTTCATTTAGTTAATACATGAGTGACTTTTCTTATTGTTATGACAGAATATCTGACCAAAGCCACTTAAGAAAGGAAGAAAGTAAGGGTTTAATTTCGCTCATCATGCAGGGAAGTCACAGCAGCCCAAGTGGGGAACAGCTGCTCACATTGTATCTGTAGTCAGGACACACAGAGAAACTAATGCTTGTCCTTAGATTCCCTTTCCTTTTCATTTATCCCAAGGCCCCTACCCGTGAAATGATGCCACCTATATTTATAGTGATTCTTCTCACCTAGGTTAACCCAAACTAGAAATGTTCTCTCAGTCATGCTCAGAGGTGTTTTTCCTAAGTGACTGTAGATTCTTTTAAGTAAACAACAAATATAACTATCACAGTTTGATAAATATGTTGGCATTGACTCCTGGTCAGAGTATGGAGTATATTCACAAATGGTTCAAAGTATGTTATTCAAAATTTCAAATACCCTGGACATCCTATTGTCTTTAACTGGTTAGAGATGTGAAAACTGATGGTATGCATCCTGGATAACAAATAGTTAGTACTGGCATTAACATCTTTTTAAAAAGTTTTGTCTAAGTCACTACAAAATCAAGACAGCTCAGATTCATCCCTCTGACTCAAAACACGACAATGTGCTTTATTAGTGATTATTAATATCATTTTTTCTATTATGCTTAAGTATAGTAGAAGAATTACAAAGAAATGGATGTTGGTATAGTACATATATTTCTCGACATTCTTTGAACAACTAACTAGCCATATAGGAAAGAAAAAGAATTACCACCTTTCTTTGTACTATAATGAAAATGATATCAGACATGATAAAACCAGAATCAACTGCAGAATGACATTTGCACTCCATTACAATACATGCAATAGGTGGATTTCAAAATGGCATGGAAATACTTTCAGTGAATTTTATTCTTTAAGAAATAATTTAAAATATTGAGTGAGGCAGGTATCCAAAATAACAGTGATAAATACAAATAGGGAAGCAAAAGTAGTGGAATGAACTCTTTGCCTAGTTGTGTGGAATTGGAGGTATCCTATGATTCAGAATTTTCTAAGTAAACAAATTGGTTGTTACAAAAACAAATAAGTTATTAGATTGATAGTACACACAATCATACAGAAATGCATAATGACTAAACATAGGCATAGGAAGGGTATGTCACATCCATTGTGATGAGTAAGGGACCATTAAGACACAGTGATAAATTCATGTTGATGAAATTTACTTGTGTGTTTTAAACTACAGGTCATTAACAAAGGTAATAGTAATTTCTAAATCATCTTCTCTATTAAAAAGTATTTTTCCAAGATTTGTTATGATACACTGTTTTCATGTATGATAGGATAGTGAATCCATGAAATCTCAAAAGCGTGGTCATCTAAACAAGACCTGAGTAATGGCAATACCAGTTGACATGTCAACATGGATAGGGGAAATCTTACAAGGCCCTTCCCCTACACCAGAGTTTCTCAACATGTGGGATGTGACACTTTAGGGGTCAAATAACCTTTTCATTGGGGGTCACTTAAGACCTTTAGAAAAACAAATATTTATATTATTATTCATAACAGTATCAACATTACCATTATGTAGTAGCCATGAAAACAGTTTTATGGTTAGTGATCATCACAACATGAGAGACTGCATTAAAGGGTCACAGCTTTAGGAAAATTGAGAACTACTGCCATAGATGAAGAACTACAGGCAATTAATGGCTATTTTGTGAGGAGAATCAATCTTATGCAGGGATGAGTGAGCCAACAAATAGGTTATCCAGTCTCAAGTTCTTAGTCCTAATCACATATCCATAGGAGAAACAATAAATGGACTCATCAGGCTGAATTTATATATACAAGTTTATATATATACATGTATGTGTAGTGTGTGTGTGTGTGTGTGTGTGTGTGTGTGTGTGTGTGTGTGTGTATGCAGAAGAGGTCATGAACTGGACATGAAGTACAAGGAGCATAAGAGGTGTTCAAGTAGAAGAGGGAGATGTAAAAATAAAAATGCAGGATTCACATTAGAAAATGTGAAGAAAATTTACTGTGTTTTAATAACTCAAGGACACTACTATCACAGGTGAGAAAGGACTAGAATAACCACTAAAAGACAATGCAAACAAGAGCTTACCTCTACAGTTTGGCTCAGGATCCCACCTTCCATTGATGCAGGTTGAGTGTTTATACTCCTTCTTTCCTCTACATTTGTAACCCAAGCTAACATTATGATGAAATTCTTTCTTATTGGATTGAATTCTGTCCACGCCAGTTACCTGTGGTGCTTTACACTTCTCCAGTTGATCTGTTGCTATGTGAAAATAATTCCAGGAAAAATAAAAACAATTACAAGAAGTGAGCTAGCTGCTGTATCAAAATAGCTATATGGTCAAATGAAACTATTATTTATGCCTATAAATTCTGTCAATTAACATGCTAAAGTGACCACACAGAGTGGCCTATGGTGAGAGAACTAGATCTCATGTCCAGTTTTGTACATCTCAGAGAGTTTGTGTTGTGAAGTGATTTGTGTACTTGGCAACTGCAAATACATAGGAAATCAGTGTCTCAGATGCTCTACATAGGAAATAATTATGAAATGACCCAAACTTGTTGCTATCCCTTATCTTAATTCTAGTCCATGATGTTAAAAATATTAAAATGAAAACATGAGCAGATAGATTATAAAAAGTTTGCTAGTTTGAATATCCTTTTTGATAGATGTGTTATTAAAAAATCATATCTAGATATATTGTGTATAAAACAATTGTTTCAGAGCAAGAATTTGTAAAAGATATTATATGCTTGTAGTCACCATCTGCATCAGGAGGAAGAACTGGATTTGAGTAAGAGTCTATAAGAAGTTATTTCCTATGCTAGATCATCCTATAATATAACAATACTGTGTCATATTAATAAAATGTTTGGTTGTGTTATGACTTAAGTAAGGGATATATATATATATATATATATATATATATATATATACCTTTTAATGCATTATGTTTTATAATTACTAACTGAAGATCAAAATTCTTTTTGAATCTGACAAAATTTCAGTATAGGTCCTGGATAACATTTGTTAATAATTTGAAATGTAGAGTGAAATGTGAATGGATAGAGTAAATAAAAGAAAGTGATTAGTCAAAGTACTATAACTTTCATCTAAAACAATACTTAAAATATTGACCAGAGTAATTCAAGAATTCAAGACACCTGAGAATTAGTCCCTTCCTTACGATTGGTTCACAGGAAGATGAAAGTTATAAAGGTAAGTGAAGAAAGACCAATAGTCACAGGGGCATGGTGACTGTGTGATTGATTTGTTTCATAAGAATCTCTTATTGGTCAAGAGAAAGCTAAAGATATGGAGCAGGGTAAGAATGTATAGTGTCAGGATAAAAATGTTTGTACTGTAAGCTTAATGTTGTAGCACAGCTTATGATAACTGAAGAGGATCATATGAAGGTCACTACAGGCAGATCAACCATCAGAACAAAACTCAGAACTCTGAACAAATAATAAAACATAACTTTGTAACAGAATGGAAAATTGTTTTCATTCGTGAAATGTCTGACTTTTCACCCATATAAAATTATTTGTTAAACAGTTTTAAAACAGTCATGTGAATAGGCTTTAAAGTACTGAAGTAGATATCTGAAAAAAAATGTGTTTGCTTAGCAAAAATGTAATGATTAATTATAGAAGCATTGATTTACATGGCAAACTGTTTTTGAATAGGTCAGTCTTCAGTGTCTGGAGAACATATCACTAAACAACACAGGTATAAATACCCATTCCAAAGGAGCTCCATGTTTCTTTGGCATTAACCAACACTAAAATTCCAATGAAGAGTAAATTCTGGGTATCAAGGACCATTCTGAAGTAATGACCCATGAATACTATAAGAGAAACCCCAGTTTTAGAAAAAAAGTGAATGTAGGCACCAAGATACTTTTAGCTATTTATTAAAGATGCAGTCATTCATACATAATAGAAAGACAATCCTTGGAGGCTCAGAGATCTGCAAATACGGCATTTGAAATGTTTAAAAGTTTTTTCTGTGATAGAGTGACATTCTAGCTCCTGGCAGCACCTTTATTTCTTCCAAAGAAGATAGATGGGCACAGAAGAACTTCAACCCAGAACTTGCTCCAGAGTGGTAGCACCAACCACTGAGCAAAAACTGCCTTTCACCTCAAGTACTGCCTTTTATCTGGACTTTTGCCAGGGCCTTCTTCAGACTAAGGAACACAGGACTCTTGGAAATCCATTGCTTTGCTTTTGCCTAGACAAAGTAGGCTGGTCCTCCACACAAGCTACTACCCCATAACTGTTGGATCTTCTGAGGCCTGGCAGGCCTAGATCTGGTAGCTGAAGACTGATGTTGTCACCCTGAGACCTCTGCCCTCAACAACCATGGAGGACCCTGGAGTGACTGACTGTCTAAGTAGGTAGCAAGTAAGTCTCTGTGACTTTAAATCACTAACTCAGGTAAAATTTATCCTTCTCAGATCTTTAATGTCATTTGACAGCCAGGCTTTGTCAGTTCAACAGCAACAACCAAGGGTTCAGCTGGCTTTTCGGTTCTCTATGTAAAATTCACAGGCCTCATTCTTTTAGAGCTAATACCAAGTCTAGACACAGTTCACCTTAGTACCAGACTCAGAAAGGGATAAACTTACTTTATAATGACTGCTCTCTGGTGAATTAGATAAAAAGAAGTTGCTTTAAGCTTTGTTTATGTGAAAATGGGAAATCTGCCTCACTTCCTCTTTTTTTTTTTTTTTTAACTTATCCTTCTTAGATCTGATGATGTTTGATGACCAGGGTACTAATGTATATTTTGCCAACTAACAGCTCTCTTCCACAATCTCAAGTCTACAAGAACTTGGTAGCTCATTATTAAGTTTCCTGTTAAAAATACAGACAAGTACCTCGTTCATAGACTTCATGGTACAGGATAAACTGGTTTCAGATGTAATTTCAGAAGTTCAGAGTTTTAACATTGATAAATACAGTTTTGATAAACTAATAGAGCACTGACTACAGACAGATTTGTGAGTCCATAATTTTCTCTGGACTTACTGATCCCAGATTTTAGAGACAGGTTAGCATTAGAGAGGGTATGGAAGCGTCCCTCCTCCTCCTTCACTCACTCAACCACTTCCATTCAGTGAATTTCCTCTCATTATAGATTTAAGGATGTGTTTCATTAGGCTGAAAACAGGCCCTAGAAAATGTTCATACCTTTTAACCGAAAGCCATAGCTTTTGCTGTGACACCAAGATGTAAATATGTTCCACATGTTTTACAAACACTGGCAGGTTCCTGCACAGATCTACCCCTCCTGCCAGACTTGTGCCAAGGCCAAACCCTCAAAGGCCCTCCAGATACATCATCAGCCACTATACCAGCTGAAGAAATGAACTGGGAAAATGCTCGCAGGTTAACTTCACCCACATGCCCACTCATAAAAACTTATCTCTTAGTTCATTGACATTTTTACAGTAAGGATAGAGTCATTTCCCACATCCAAAGAAACAGAAGATGTAATGGCTCCTGTACTTCTGGAACACATCATCTCCCATTTTGGCATGCCTCTTCCCACCCAAGCTCCTGGAATATCACTGCTGGTGCCACCACTCCAGACTCAAAAGCATATTTGCTCTTTCACCTGACTCAACCACCCTTGTCTCTTCTGTACAAGCAGGACACTTTTCCATCCCATTCTTTCTGGCAGTTATCGCTCTTCCCATGGCTAGCCCTGCTCATGAGACCAATAATAACAGTAAATTTTTTCTGAGCACCCTGTCTTCTCAGTTCCCTCAAGGAACAGATACCTGAGGTCTCCACAATGGCAGCTAACAGAATGCTTCTTCACTAAAACTTTCTGCTGTGTGTGACCCAAACCCCAACTTCCCCCTCCCTACTTCATACCAAAATTAGCAGGAAGTAGTATTGAGAATTTTGCACCCTATTTCCCCCCCATTTGCTAATCATAACTCACCTTCTTATAATAATCAAAAAAAGAGTAACGTTAGCATTCAGACCTGCCCCCGGGGACCTGCCCAGCATCCTGATATCATCTTATATAAAGTCCTCTTTAAGAGAAAACCCCTCCCCTTCTCTCTCTTCCTTCTTTTCCCTCTTCCTCCCTCCCTTTCATGAGGTAGCACAGCCTCCTCCCTTCCTTTTCTTCCCTTTTCTCTTTCTCTTTTCCATATTCTCCCTCCCTTTCCCCCTTATTAAAACTTTCCATGTGGATGCCACTTCTGCATGGTGTGAGTGGCTTTCTGCCATGCCCCCTTGGCCACTGCCTGCTGTGTCTGCATGGTGTATCCCCTTTACCTGCTGTGGAGCACCTTGGCTCCACCCACCAAGGCCTCGTTGTGGACATTTTTCAACAATAACAGAGAGTGCCATATAGTAACAGCAATGGTATTTTGTAACATTGTGATATCTTCTTGGGTATTATTATTTACATTTAGTCACAAGAAAATTCATAACCAACAACTAGATTTAACTTAAGGTAAACAACCTTTTATAGATTATATTAATAATTTTCATTCATCTGTAGACACACATTAAATTATAAACAATAAAAGTTTGGATTTATATTATTTAAGACTAGATTTTTCCAAGAAGATTTCTAAATACAAATACACACACACACACACACACATACACATACACACACACACACACATACACACACACACACACACACACACACACACACACACAGAAATATTTCTGCAATAAAAATATTACACTTT